AAAAGGGTGAATTACAGACGAACTTTATATTTCTTGATAATCTTGTGGTGTTGAAATATATTCACTATGAATGAAGCAGGTTATAATCTATTGAATATTATCACTAAGAGGTTATGGTGATTGTAGTGCTCTGATCGAACACTGGAATGCTATTGTGTTTATCTTAACACGTGTGTAGTTGCCTCTAAATATCGGTCGTAAGAGAGCCGAAATGGAGGTTATGTGAAGCTGTGCGCCATCTGTGGCGGAAACAACTTATAGTTGGAGGGATTGAGAAGCCAATGTGGCTTTTGCAGCTTATCTTGTTCAAGAATATGTCCGGGAAGCTTTTAGTTCATATTTTTCTTAAGTTCATAAATTCCTTCATTTAAAAAATGCCTTAGCTAAATTTTACTCTTAAAATAATTTTTTAAATTACTTTAAAGAGCTTTAGTCTGTGTACAAAATGCAACTCGTCGTTCCGACTTGTTTTATCAAGGCCGGTTCGACGGATACAATTTGATGCCGTTGACAACTCAGAGACCACAGGTATTGTGTGGTAATGACTGAAAGTTATCACAGAGTGGCGCGGAACTGGATTTGTCGACACTTGCGCCGTGTGTTGCTTAATTTCATAAGTTTCCGAACTTGAACTAAGGTGAGGGTGGCCAAAAGGGACGCCCCTTTTGCGGGCGCGAAATTGACGACGTGTACTGGAATTTATTCCGCACTGCCGTTTTAAGAGGAAGTTCCTCGTCCTTAGTGCTTGTCGATGTAATACTCTGAATCTCAATATATATGTAATTATTGTAGTAATAATACTACTTACGAAGACTAATCGTTGACTCGTCTCCGGACACTGATATGCGGATTGTCGTCGCTCCCTTTGAACATGTATCGACGGATTCTTGAACTGCGTTAGTGGACATACGGGTTTATGTCGTCGTTCCATTAGGACTTGTAACTACTGTTGATTGAACGTGTTAATTTTTAAACCGGAAACTAAATTTTTAAAATCGAACAATAGTTTATATATATATATATATATATATATATATATAGTGAGAGAGAGAGAGAAATATATGTTAGGAATTATAATTGAATTATATAAAATATAATATTTATTTTATATTAGTGATAATACTAGTAATGATTTGAAATATTGGATGCGATATATTATTCCCTGTATTTGTAAACGCTCAAGATAATTATTAATTGTATTTTTAATTACATTGTGAAACGTTGGCTAATTACTAGTTTTACATAATTAATTTTATAAATAACTTAATTTTATCTAATTATATGAGGCAACTGGTGGCCATAGTCTAATTCTAAATAATTAGCATTAACTTTAAAAATAAAACTAGCAGTAACTTTACAGCACCTAGCATATGTGTAGCCAAATTAAAATTTAAATTAATGAAATTTTAACTTTCTATATATATTAGCCAATAGTTCATATTTTTCTTAAGTTCATAAATTCCTTCATTTAAAAAATGCCTTAGCTAAATTTTACTCTTAAAATAATTTTTTAAATTACTTTAAAGAGCTTTAGTCTGTGTACAAAATGCAACTCGTCGTTCCGACTTGTTTTATCAAGGCCGGTTCGACGGATACAATTTGATGCCGTTGACAACTCAGAGACCACAGGTATTGTGTGGTAATGACTGAAAGTTATCACAGAGTGGCGCGGAACTGGATTTGTCGACACTTGCGCCGTGTGTTGCTTAATTTCATAAGTTTCCGAACTTGAACTAAGGTGAGGGTGGCCAAAAGGGACGCCCCTTTTGCGGGCGCGAAATTGACGACGTGTACTGGAATTTATTCCGCACTGCCGTTTTAAGAGGAAGTTCCTCGTCCTTAGTGCTTGTCGATGTAATACTCTGAATCTCAATATATATGTAATTATTGTAGTAATAATACTACTTACGAAGACTAATCGTTGACTCGTCTCCGGACACTGATATGCGGATTGTCGTCGCTCCCTTTGAACATGTATCGACGGATTCTTGAACTGCGTTAGTGGACATACGGGTTTATGTCGTCGTTCCATTAGGACTTGTAACTACTGTTGATTGAACGTGTTAATTTTTAAACCGGAAACTAAATTTTTAAAATCGAACAATAGTTTATATATATATATATATATATATATATATATAGTGAGAGAGAGAGAGAAATATATGTTAGGAATTATAATTGAATTATATAAAATATAATATTTATTTTATATTAGTGATAATACTAGTAATGATTTGAAATATTGGATGCGATATATTATTCCCTGTATTTGTAAACGCTCAAGATAATTATTAATTGTATTTTTAATTACATTGTGAAACGTTGGCTAATTACTAGTTTTACATAATTAATTTTATAAATAACTTAATTTTATCTAATTATATGAGGCAACTGGTGGCCATAGTCTAATTCTAAATAATTAGCATTAACTTTAAAAATAAAACTAGCAGTAACTTTACAGCACCTAGCATATGTGTAGCCAAATTAAAATTTAAATTAATGAAATTTTAACTTTCTATATATATTAGCCAATAGTTCATATTTTTCTTAAGTTCATAAATTCCTTCATTTAAAAAATGCCTTAGCTAAATTTTACTCTTAAAATAATTTTTTAAATTACTTTAAAGAGCTTTAGTCTGTGTACAAAATGCAACTCGTCGTTCCGACTTGTTTTATCAAGGCCGGTTCGACGGATACAATTTGATGCCGTTGACAACTCAGAGACCACAGGTATTGTGTGGTAATGACTGAAAGTTATCACAGAGTGGCGCGGAACTGGATTTGTCGACACTTGCGCCGTGTGTTGCTTAATTTCATAAGTTTCCGAACTTGAACTAAGGTGAGGGTGGCCAAAAGGGACGCCCCTTTTGCGGGCGCGAAATTGACGACGTGTACTGGAATTTATTCCGCACTGCCGTTTTAAGAGGAAGTTCCTCGTCCTTAGTGCTTGTCGATGTAATACTCTGAATCTCAATATATATGTAATTATTGTAGTAATAATACTACTTACGAAGACTAATCGTTGACTCGTCTCCGGACACTGATATGCGGATTGTCGTCGCTCCCTTTGAACATGTATCGACGGATTCTTGAACTGCGTTAGTGGACATACGGGTTTATGTCGTCGTTCCTTTAGGACTTGTAACTACTGTTGATTGAACGTGTTAATGGACAATCCGAAGAAGTGTAAGTCGTCGCTCTTTTTGAACATGTTACGACGGTTCTTGAACTGCGTTAATGAACATACGATGTATGTCGTCGTTCCTTCAGAACTTGTAACTACTGTTGCTTGAACGTGATAATGGATTTTCACTAAACTTAAGTGAATATGAAGTATCTCAATGGTATACTATATTCAGTGAGTACTACTAAAAGAGAAATATCAAGAGTATACTAAGAAGGAAATATCAAGAGTATACTACTAAGAAAGAGATATCAAGAGAGAAACTTGAAGAGAGTAATATCACGAGTGTAATGTCAAGAGTGAATGAGTATTGAAAGTTGCTCCCCTTAAATATATTTGCTGACCATGAATTTGACTCGAACCCCTTCCCTTATTTTTCGTCCAATCAGAGACTCCTCCCTTATAGTGCGAGGGCAGCGCTTCTTGTTGTTTCGGACTTAATTAAGGAGTTAGTCGTCTCTTGGTCTACGTGACAAGAAGACCTCTCGTTGGTGCTGCCGCATGCGACAGCATGTTAGCAAGGGGTAGGAAGGTCCGCTTGCAGTAATGCTTGCAGTAGTTATCGAACGGAACGAAAATGCAGATGTCTAACTATGGGTTTCCCATGTTTATTGTATTGTTTTTCCAGATGTTTTATGACACTAGTGCTTGATAATTTCGAGCAAGAAAAATTTGAAATCTAAATACAATATTTACGATGTTACTTGCCAGATGTTTTATTGCATTGACAAAAAAGGAAATGGTCTCGTATTCTCGAACAGTCTGAATATCTTATAGCATTTATAGAAAATTTCTATACATATAGGATGTCACAAAAAAAATTCTAAAGTTAGGTACTAAAGACATACTTCTTTATTTCATTTAATTTACAAAAGATTTGCAAAATTAATGAAACAAAAAGTATCTAAATGAAACAATCAAATGCACAAAGCATCTTCATAATAAGAAAGATAATAAATATTCAATTTAATAATAAAATACACTGATAAGAATAAATCGCATTATTACAGACTTATTGTTATTTTAGAAATAATTTTTATTGGTTTTTGTAATTGCATACAATGAACAATAATCTGCAGTCATTATACATCTATTTTATTGAATAGTAAAATAAAATTACAAATATCAATTAAAATGATATTTCGTTTATAGATAATTATAAACTGAACAACGTGTCCTCACTAAATGAAATATAACGCAACAAAGATTTTAATATTCGAGTACACAAATCATAAAGAGTGAGTAAGAGAGAGAGAGAGAGAGAGAGAGAGAGAGAGAGGGAGAGTATCTAAGCGATTAAAAAATATAATAAGCAGTTAAAAAAATTTTCATAAATTTAATTTGGCTATTGAATAAATATTTCGAAGTTGAAAATATTTAGTCATTATTTCATATAAATCGTATATTAAATTGTAATTTTTATCACTTTTGTTCATGTAATATTTGTAAGTATATTAATTTTTCAATTTAAAAATAAATTTATTTATTTATTTAGAAATGTTAATTATATAAGACTGTGATATATTCTACGTGATTTCTTTACAGATAAAGAAAAGCTGTGCAGTCGACATCACCCTGCTCCTATCTTAAAACATAAAAATTCCAGATTTGGATTTGGTCAATTATCAGGTGGTTCTTTATCAAATACAGGTATTCAAATAAATATTAATAACATTTATTAAAACGACGAGAAATATATTAGTAACAAGACGGATATTTATAACAGTATGCAAAACTTATATGCATATATTTAAAATTAGTATAAAGGTTAAAAGAAAAGGATAAAAGAGGAATAAATTAGTATACTTTAATAATGATGATTTGATTTTTAATTATGAATTGATCATGGCAGTCTAAAATAATATAGATTAAAAGATATGTTTATACAACTTACTAGATTCAATAATATTTATGAGATTATTTCAACGTAATTATTTTCAGATTGTTTAATTTACACTAAATACAGTTTATGATTTATGTGTGAAGCCAAGAATCATTTCAATACAAGTAAAACTGATTGAATATATATGAAATATTTTATATTTATTTTAATTATTAATGTTTCATTTGTTAATTAGGATGGATGATGTTAGGAAATCTTCAATATAATGTATAAGAAATGAACGGCGTTGAGATAAAAATTAAAAGATACTTGGAAATATATATTATTGTTAATATTTGAATTAAATAAAGATACTATATTATTAAGGTATTATTTTTTAAGTAGCATTGTTGATTATAACAATCCATTTTTAGAACCAAGTAACATACAAATTCGGTATTTGTTCGAGATTGGAGCATCTCCCAAGAACTTAAAAATGGGAGAAGTATAAGCCTTCTAACTCTTGTGTTTGTAAATATTGATACTACAAATTCTCGAATATTCTACGCCTTATTTTCAAGTGTCTTACAATATTTCCGCATAGCAACGTTGATTGGAAATTTTCGAACCTTTTAAAGCCTTGTCTTTTTGGAATCCTCGAATTTTCTAGAGCTTTAGTCTCTGACGTCATCAATGCTTTCGTCATAGCAACACCTATGCATTGTTGCCAGCTAAGTAAGCTGCCTCGCGAATATTTAAGAAAAGCACGTAATGAACCAGACTCTCTCTCTCTCTCAGCAAAACCGTCGTAATGAAGACACGATGGCAATGATCACGGTCTGCCTTAGCAGGACCACCATGGAACACCATCTCATTTCTCAGCAGGGTCAGATGCCAAGTCGTCGCTTGTAGCCGCATTAAATCAGTGGAAAAGCCGCCAATCTCCGCGTCATTCAGCGCACAACATACAGATCCCAATGAGAATCTCGCTAGTGCCCCACGCGCACGAAGCACACATCTGCAAGTTAATCTCCGCGCCATTCAGCGCACACTACCAACCGATCGAGAAACTCTATTGCCCCAAGCGCGAATAGTGACAGACTCACCACGTGGCCTTACTCAAAGAAGTGGTAAGAGCTTTCAACCTCTCTGTTCGAAATTGTAAGAACCCTTCCCAACTCGTAAGACTTTTGTAAACCTCAAGTAGTTAAGCATCTGGCTAAAACATGTTATTCAAAGTTGTCAAAGACAAGTCATAAAATCACCTGGAAAACCCACCTCGTTTGACATCTGGAAAAAGAGTGATATACGAAAAAATTGCAGTGTACCACATGTAACGCATACGCTATTGTCAAATCCTACTACAATGTAGCTCGCATAGTGAAGCAAGAGGCGCTCTGATTCGAGCCGCCAAGAAAGAGTCGATTTAATTGGAGACGCCAAGAAAGAGGCGCTCTGATTGGAGACACCAAGAAAGAGGCAATTCGTAAAAACCACGTTGTGGTCAAGAGAAAGACGCCGGCAAGGGGCAAACGCTTCATCTTACAAAGAATAATTGTAGTACAAAGTAAGTGCAAAATACACATTCTTCAGCAATGCCGTGAAAAAAAAGAACAAGAAAATAGTGTGCACAGAGCACAACATAAGGCAGAACCTTCAAGTTGTCGCATGAGGAAAAGCCTGCAGACATCACGAGCTGCCATCAAGAGCACAGAATCTGTAGAACTTACAAGGCAAAAGTTCCATTCCTTAATAATGATAATTATATAAAATTCCATCATGAACTTAGAATCATTATAGTGTAGGTTAACGGGATAACGGAAACAAACATCAAGTAAAATAAATGTGTTAATTATTGAATACATGCACTATCCCTTTAACTTGCTCGCAATCCTCCCACCAACCATCTGGGATCTTACTCTAATTGTAGACATTTTGGTGAAACGAGCCGAATACCCTATTATTAGACACTATTTCTTTTCAGTGCAATATACCACCAAGAGAACCTCGCTCGTGCCCCACGCGTACGAAGCACATGTCTGCAAGTCAATCTCCACACGCACGAAGTACACGTCTGCAAGTCAATCTCCACGCCATTCAGTGCATACCTTACAGATATGATCGAGAACCTCTAGTGCCCCCAGCGCACGAAGCAGTAGCAGATTCACCACACGGCTTTACTCGAAGTAGTGGTAAGACCTTTACAATCGACCACCAGTGCACTCCGCAACGAGGGTCCGGAAATATACAACCTCCTACCTTCGAACGTAGTGTATACTAACGCCAAGTGTCGACTGCCACAGAACCCTAAGAGTACATCGATTGAATTCATTAATGAGAATCATTCATGTATTTGGATATTATACAGGATAAACAGAACAACAAACAGATGTGTTAAATATCGAATTAATACGCTATCCCTTACACTTGCCCGCACATCTCTCCCACATAACACTTCGTGGTTTTTTAGTTAATTTTAAACAGTACTTATTAAAAAATATTTAAATAATTAAATCTATTATATTCAGTTGGGATATTTGATGAATCTTAAAATGCAGTGTAATTATTTTATAATGAAATTATTAGTATTAAATATAAACATTTATATGCGATAATATTTTACATGTAAAAAATAATTCATTTCGATTGAATACTCTGTTATTTCATTCTATACACAGTATTGCATAGAGAAAAATAAAATCGGATGTAGAGAATGATCAATGAAAGCGTTATTTTGTCAGTTATTTTCTAAGAATATTACACTAATTATTAATTTAATTATCATAACAAGATGTTTAAAAAGTTTTATAAATTTTTGGATTTTGCATCATTGACATTATGAAAGAAAATTGACTCCTTTAAATTAGTAATTAAAAATTAAAAATTGCAAGAGGAATTAAAACAGAATTATTAAACATGTATTGTTGAAAATATCGTATTGAACTATGATGTTTAATTACTATTGAAACTAATATGATTTGATATAATAATATGAGTTTCAAAATACAAATATTTATATATTGATAGGTATACATATGCGTTGTAAGTTTTCAGAAATACATGATGCGGGTTTTTCTTTGAAGTATTGAGCTTTTATTTAAGTATATTCCCAAAAATTATTTAAGAATAAATTTTTTATGAGATGCCTATTTGACCATTGAAAAATAATTGCTTTTAAAATACAAATATTGATGCCAATCAATATTATCACCAATTTAATTAGTCGAAAAAATGATTTAATAATATAATCTAAATAGTATAAAGTTATTTTAAAGTGCTAATCTACAAAAAAATTAATTATTAAATAAGAATGAGGTATAAAAAAATTATAGATTATATTTTGTAGCATTTTCTTTAAATTATTTTTGTCTGGAATCAAACTAAAAGCTTCCCTGAGATGTTGCGGGGAAGCTTGCTAGCAAGTGGAATGAACAATGCAATAATTCAACACTGCCTTCATATGAGTTGGTTTCCCTTTTATTGAATATAATGATATAATAAATAAACAGTGGTCTATTGAGGTGAGATTAAATGTATGATACAATGATTAGGTGAGAGTTTCTTCAGGTAATATGAGTGATAATAATCTTGTAAGTGTTTTTTTGATATGGCGCGTGATTCTCCTACTCATGGTTATGACTCGTAGTGATAGTGGGAGATGCGCTGATGAAGGGTGATGATGCCGTGAAGAGTGTCACGCTGTGAAAGGGGAGCGTTGACGTCGCCGTTGCCGCTACCGATAAGCTGGAGAGTCCTGAGTGGTGGCGTAGGTGTGTGACGTCACTGATGAAGGGCAATGATGATGCCGTGAAGAGGATGCCGCCAGTGCCGCTACCGATAAGCTGGAGAGGCCTGAGTGGTGGCGTAGGTGTGTGACGTCACTGATGAAGGGCAATGATGATGCCGTGAAGAGGATGCCGCCAGTGCCGCTACCGATAAGCTGGAGAGGCCTGAGTGGTGGCGTAGGTGTGTGACGTCACTGATGAAGGGCAATGATGCCGTTATCTAGGTATTGCCGCTTACTTAGTTCACGGAGCCGTGTGTTAGTGATTCGTAAGAACGTGTGTAATAGCGCAGCTTACGTGTGGAGTCGATCTCAGTGGATTGATGGCACATAAGAACGTGTGTAATAGCGTGACTTACGTGTAGTGAGTTCGATCCGTGCGATGGTACTGGTTGACTAATTCTGTAGGTGGGTGCGGTCTGTTTGAATTGAAGATGATCTCTGTGCAAGTGGTGTTGATTCGTAGGACGGTAATTTGTGGGAATTGAAGGTGATCTCTGTGTAAATGGCGTTGACTTGTAGAACGGCGATTTGATCTTGATGACTGCTTGATTGATCTAGTAAGAGGACGAGAGCGTCAAGCGCGTCTCCTTACATATTATAGTACACGCTTGCGATTCCAGTGAATTCTAGATTGCTCTTGTCATGCTGATAGTTGAAGTGACGTCACTAGAATCTAGCCTTGGAGAGTTCGTCGGCCCTTGTTAGTCGGAATTGTAATGTAAAGTTGTCTATTTGAGTATTGAAATTTCCCGATTTCGGAGAATCGTGTTTACCACTTAGCGCGCAATATTTTGACCTAAGCAGGTGTCTTTACCTCTCCCACTTTGTTTACCGCATAAAATGCTGCAATCCGTAACAATTTTATTAAAATAAAATTATTCCATTTCAAACAAGTTTACTACTTTAAATTAACATTACGATTGAAAAATGCTAGTAATGATAAATAAATAATGATTTTGTTTGTGATCATTTTTTTATACACTATTATACCATAATATCCTCTTAATTATACTTAAAGGAGTTTTTATTCTGATACACCTAACACATTATGAACATAAATAATTGATTTTTTCAAGTACTAAGTGTATTTATTATTTATATTCTATAGACAGGTATTTATATTTTGAATAACAATATGTTGAGATTTATTAACAGCTTTGATTGACTGTAATATTGATTTTGACTACGATAATATTTCGGTTTTGATAAAAATATTTAACTTCCCGTTGTAATATATATCTTACTATATATTTGAAATTTCATTATTTCAATTGAAATTTTAAATTAATAATTAAAACTTAACAGTACTAAGATATTAACAAATTTTCAGAATATAAAAATAAACAAGTTTGTATATTAGTTAATTTATTTACTTTTCAGATTATATTAAATAGTTCGACATTTATATTGATTTTTTAAATTATTTACTTAAAATGCATTAATTTTAATAATTACCAGTATCGAACTAGTAAAATCTCTTTTTTATGTTATCTTTCATTTAAGTTTTAGTTACATTTTTTTTATTTATACGAAATGTTTATAAATAATTATACAAAATTGTTAAAAAAATGTTAAAAAAATTTTAAAATGTATATATATAATAATAAATGTTTACATTCTTTCCAGAAATACATATTCCTTCTCTTAGTGCAATCGAAGATGGAAACTTATCGAATATTCTACACAAAATTATTGATTTAGAAGAATCAGATAAAGAAACTATACATTTACTTGTATTTTTATTAATGCAATTTCTTTCCCGTCCAGATCAGGTAAATAACATTATAATAATACATTTATTATTATTATTTTTAATAATATGTATTTAATTTACAATTTTATATTGTATTAAATATAATGAAGGTAGATATAATTTTTATATTTATTAATCAAATAAATTCATTATGAATAATGAATTTCGTATTTCATATAATTTATATAATTTTTTTATTATAAAATATTGTTCATGCCAAATATATTTAATTATGCTCTTGATGAGTAAAACTCAGTTTATTATAATAGTTATATATGTATATATATATTTATATATATATACATCTGTTCGAAACTGTTTGACTTCTTGGCTCGAACTATCTATGCTTTGATAGCTTTCATTTACCACCCGCCCTATACGCGGTTGCTTGGGAAGGAATTAAATGGAAGGGATGTAAAAATACAGTATACGTTTCTTCGAAACTATGATTTATTTACAGTTAGACTATTTGATTGGATTTATATATTATGGATGGTGTCTGGGATCAGACTAAAAAACCTCCTTATGATGGCGGGTGGAGGCTTGCTGGCAAGTGGAAGGGGCAATGCAATTATACAATACTGTCCTTTGTGTTGTAGTCGTTACTTTTATTAATGTAATAAGTAATGAGTAGTTAATAATCTATTAATTATTATAATTAGTGTATGATATAGTGAACATATTAGTGTTTCTTCAGTAGTAGCGGTGACGATGAGTCTGTGCGTGTGTTCTTGATGGCCTGGACCGTGATTCCCCTTCTTCTTGAGCTTAGTAGTCGTAGTGGGGAACTCGTGGTGGTAAGGGAAGCAAGTTAGTACCGTCTTGGCAGCCGGCGAAGGGGTGAGTTGTAGTGTACGAAGTGGTGAGAGAACGTCCGTGTGACGTCACAGCTTGTGTCCGTGAGCTCCAAGGTAGTGGCGATGTTGGTGCACGTTCGTGTGCTCAATGCGAGTGTAACTCGCGGTGTTTAGGTAGACGTAAGAACTGGTCGACGTTACTTACATGCGGGCGTAAATCTCTGTGTAAGGTACTATGCAAGAACGAACGTCGGCGTTGCTTGCACGTGGTGGCGGGAACTGCGTGAGTTGGTGGCAGGAACCGCGTGATGAGGTAATATGCAAGAATGAGCGTCGGCGTTGCTTGCACGTGGTGGCGGGAACTGCGTGAAGTGGTAGCAGTAACCGCGTGGCGAGGTAATATGCAAAAACGAAAGTCGGCGTTACTTGCACGTGGTGGCGGGAACTGTGAGATGAGCAGAGTGGCGATCACGTGGCGAGGTAATGCAAGAACGAGAGCCGGCGTTACTTGCATGCGGTGGCGAGAACTGTGTGATGAGCAGAGTGGCGATCCGCGTGATGAGATAGTAAGAACAAGCGTCTGGTTGCATCTTACTTGAGTTGGCAGGAACAGATGCGGGCGTAAACCGCGAATGTAGAGTAGTAGTGGTCCTGTCGTGCTGGGTGCTTGTAACTAGAAGAAGTAGTAAGGAACGAGCATCTGCGTTGCTTATGGAGGCGTGGGTGCTAGTATAGTTGTGTCATCGCTATTAGTTCCTTAGGTTGCGTGATGCTTGCCATGGCCTCCCAATACCGATGGCAAGGTTAGATAGCGATCCCGCTGTGGAGAGTGCACGATTGGTACTAGCAGGGCAATCGCGACACGTGCAGCTCCTTTCACATTCTCGTATGAACTGGATGCGCCAATAGCGCATCGGTGGCTGTTACTATGCCGCTATTTGGCGGACGGCAATAGGGCATAGCTTTGTCGGGTTCATTTGTTATTACTTCTTGGAATTATAGTCGTATGTTCGAGTTTTTTTAATTGAAGGTTTCGTTGAGTCCGTTGGCCAATGTTTACCAAACAATGCTGCACGCGCTCATACCTCTCCCACTTTGTATTCCGCTTAAAACTGTTGTAATCCGTAACATATGGGTATACACTATATTCAGTCACGTCTTTGGAGTTGCTTGTAACTGATTTTGTGTTGAATAAGTTGTCTTCTCGAGATGTTCTTTGAGATGTTGATGTTGTTGATTTTGTTAGGATCAACAACTGAGCATGCAGACTTCTTATTAGCGAGTGTGATTTGTGCTATTAATAATAGCGTCATGCTAGTCTTGTAAACACTGGCAATAGTTTAGGTATACTCATAAGAGTATGGTTTTGCTACGTTTATAATAGCGTGAAGCTAGTCTTGTAAGGGCTGGCAATAATTTAAGTTGCTTAGACTTTGTCTACCTACAGTGATGCAGTAGCCTTGATCTGATCCTGGGATCAGCAGTCAATATTATACGCGCTCCAAGTCAGAGAGTGTGTCTCAGGTAGTCTGGCCCTTTCGAAATGTACAAAATGTATCCGATGATTCGGTTCGTTTTACCAAGACAGGTTCGAACGACTAAAATTGTTTATGCAGACAATTCAGAGAGTTGTGTGGTAGCGATGTGCGGGCAAGTGGAAGGGATAATGTTAGTAATTCAATATCAATACATCTGTTTGTTATGCTATTTATTCCGTTAATTTACAGATACAGGGATGATTTTTATTACTGTTATCAATTGATCAACTTGGTCTTGGTTTGGGCATATCACGCATTGCTATAGAAAGCGTACTTTAAGCAGAGGCAATTGGATGGACTATGTTGCTTCTCTTGGCGTAGTACACTGATGCTATTCCCTCGGAAGTAAGTGGTTGAAAAGCTCTTACTATTACATCGAGAAGGCCACGTGTTATGTCTGCTATGAGCGCCGAATAGCGCGAAGATTTGTCGACACGTGATCCGTGTGTATGCGGCACGTGCTTCTCCTTGAATACAACAGTAGAATTAATTAAGATAATTTTACGTGTACCTGTGAGATGGCCTCAATCCTTTATGCATATGTGCCAGATGTTTTATGGACAGGACTTTTCTGAAATCTAACGACAATTTAAGGATGTTGTTTTACCGGATGTTTTATGGCATAGAAAGAGGTTCTCGCAATCTTGAACACGTGGTATGAAGGAAATATCGTTAACACTTTTCAAATGCAACACAGGGGCCCTGTTCTTCCTTGGCTTCTCCACGTAGACAGCGCTTAAGGAACGCCTCTGCCTTAGGTTTCTCCAATCAGAGTGCGCCTGTGCCTTCCATACTCAGAAAGAGTTTGACTTCGACAGTAGCCACATCGGCAAGAGTACATGTAGCGGTAGAGCCTTTTATTAGGGAGCTCACGCTTCTCTTGGACTTCGCACCGAGAGGAGCTCCGGGTCAAACATCGCCGCTCGGCTTGTACAAAAAGATGCGTAATTGTTAATAGACTGAACTAAGAAAGACTTGACTAAGAAAGACTAAGAAAAACTGACAGCTGCATGTAAAGCGCAGCCCTTAAATATTATCGAACAATTGCTTGAAACGCCGGTGTTTTGTTACCGTGACGTCAACAGAGTATAGCCTGGAAGGTTCGCTGATATTACTTTGTTAAATAACTGAATCGCGCATTCATACCTCTCCCACTTTTGTATTCTGCTTTTAAACTGTTTCAATCCGTAACATGAATTATCAGATATTTTTTAACTTATACCTAATACCAGGTGTACCTGAATAATATAAACTGTTTAGTATTAAAGAAATGTTATTTTTTATTTTTGATTTTCAAATCTGCTAATTTTTAAAATGTTTATTAATATAAAGATTCTAAGCGTAGATTTATTTATAATCTTTCAATCATATGTAATCATGTGAAGTTAAATATGTATCAATGGGATTTGTTAATATAACAAAATAAAAAATTGACTCAGGCAGAGAGAATAATAATTATTAACACCTTCTATTGTAAGGTAAGTTCTGAAAAGAATTATAATAAAATCAAAACAAGTAAAATTTTATAAATAAATTATTTTAATGTATATATAAATATACATAATACATAATAATATAAGAATGTGTAATTTTTTTAGTACTTGTCACTATTTCTACATGTATGAATTATGATATATATTTTTGTATATAATTTCCAAATTTTTATTAATTATTCAGTATAAATAGTTATACAAATAATATTCGCGATTCCAGTTAGTTACCTATAATATAATATAATATTTATATATAATCTATATAAATTAGTTATATAGATTTTATGTGTGTTTAAACTATTTATACTTTTTATATAACAATACATAATTTTCAATAATATGAATATGATTGCATTTTTTAATCTATTAGAGAAATTTAATCATCTTCATATGCACAACATTTGCAAACCAGATTTACTTCTACATTATTTACTCATATTGATTTAGTTATTCAATTTTCTATTATATATTGCAGGCATATCCTAGCGAAGATAAAATAATTTCAAAAACTCAAGAAATAGTTTTGCGTCACTTATATTTGTTACTTGGATATAATCAAACAGATAAAAGCTTTTACATGACAGCTTATAAATTAAGGTAACATTTTATTTGTTTGAAAAATAATATTTTTATTTTATAATATTCAATGATTATGATATTATAATTGTTTAAAATGTCTAAATGTGTATATACCTACTTATACAGGAAAACATTAAGCTATAAATATTACCGTATTTGGCCAAATATAAATTTCTGATTTTTAAATTTTTAAATAGCTTTCATCTTTTGTATTAAATATTTTTTTTATATCTAATAATTGTATTATATAATTTGGTTATTTACATATTGATTTTACTTCTAATTATTTGGTTAACTTTCACGTATTGTATGTATTTTTGCATAAATACGTTTAAAAATTATAGTTTTTTTTCGTATATGTTTTTAAGTAATATTATTATATCTCTTCAATAATTTATTTCACGTTTTATTCTATCAAACCTAAATATGTTTAATGCCAATTATGTTGGTATTGTTCTTTCACTAATTTTTATTTATTCGGAGATTATAAAGCATATTTTTTGAAGGAAATGATTATTACATAGTCATCTGTTTGCATTTGATATGCTTCATTATAATAAATTTGTTTAAAAATAGAGTATCAGGCTTCATTCTTAATGGCGTTCTTGGCCA